CGGTCGCGCAGCTGTGTGCGGGTCCGGGCGCTGCCGGTGCCGAGCGGGGCTGGCGTTTCGTAAGGCGGCGGATTCCCCCCGCGGCTCTGACCAGCCCGCGAGTGAAGCGGGGTCCGTTTTCGGTCACGTGCCGTTTATGGGGTCGGTGTGGTTCGCATGGTGGGTAGGAGCGCACATGCGTCTGTATGTGTGTGACTGCGGACTTTTCCTAATGACCCAGGGTATTTGGCTTCAAGGGGGGATAGGGAGGGTGGAAGAGGGGGGGATAGTAATGAATTAATTGCAGATGAGAAGTAATACCCGCCTTTGAGTCACCGGTCTTTGAGGCATAATTTCATTCCGAAAGCTCTTAATCAAACTGGAGATCAGCTATAGGAAAGCACTGCTTTTCCCGTAGGATTATCAGATTTCCACCAGAGAATATAGATCCCGGATTACTGAGCTACATGGGATTTGCGTGTTGCTTTCTAATTAGTCTGTGAATCTGAGTTCAAAATTCTTGATTTGGTGGATAAAAAGTTACTTGCTTCTGAAAGAGCAGATAGCTCTACTCCCTGACATTTTACACAGTTATTCTGGTTACCCTGTGCTCTGCAGATGTCTTACTGCCTTAATTGGATATTGGTGTCAAAGGTTGATTAGACTCCCTAATAGATTTTTGATCTGCAAGAGGATTGCAGCTTTAAGTGTGTGGTTAAAACAATCGTGTTTGCTGTCCCCCCTTGAACAGTTGAGAGGAAGACTGATGTATTACGTTTATGTTATCTCCTCTCTGGTTTATTAATGTATCATCGTCAGGTTGTCGGGTTTGGTTTTTGTTGTTGTTGGCTTCTTTTTTTCCTTTTCCTCTGCTATTTCGTTTGCAGACCGAAAAGAAATGAATGTCAGAGGGGATTTGTTTAATCATTTAACAGCTGACACAAGCCATGTCCCTAACAAAACACTGGTGAAAGAGTAGAGGATTTCTGGGATACGGCGGCGCCTGCACCGGGATGCCACCTCAGCGCGTCGGGGGTGCCGTTTGCAGCAGGATGCCGTAGCCCGGAGCAGGGGCTCGCTGGGGAGCGTTCGATGGCGTGCATGGAGCTGCTCTACCTCACCAAGGAGAGCAGGCAGGCCGCGCTGGGCGCCGGCGGCAGCTGGAGTTTGTGCCCCCCTCCCCGTGAGCCGCAGCAGCAGCAGCGCGATGGGGGCGACCTGAACGCGGGAGCAGCTGCTGCCGGGGCAACTCTGTGCTGCGAAAAGCAGGACAAGTCCTCGCCGAGGGCGGCCGCGGCTGAGCCGACCCCGGCATCCCTTCCCTCGCCTCCAGGCGCCTCTTCTCGGGAATACTCTGCTGCCCCCAGCAGCTCCCAGCCCTGCTACCAGCCCAATCGCTTGACTGGGGAGGAGGAAGCAGGGAAGAAAAAAGCCTGCTGCTGCTCTCAGGAACTTGAGACATCGTTTACCTACGTGGATGAAAATGTGAACCTGGAGCATGCAAGAAGTCCCCCCTCTCCTCTGAGCGGTGGCTGCCAGGACCCCCTTCCCCAGCAGGGCTCTTGCAGGGAGCGCCCACCTGCGTGGGGTCATGATTCCCCATCCCTGGTCTCCGAGGAAGATGACGCCACCTCAGAAGCGGCTTCGGGGAAATCCGTAGACTATGGGTTCATTAGTGCCATTTTGTTCCTGGTTAGTGGCATTTTGCTGGTGATTATTTCCTACGTGGTGCCCAGAGACGTGACTGTGGATCCCAACACGGTGGCCGCCAGGGAGATGGAGAGACTGGAGAACGAGAGTGCCAGGATTGGGGCTCACTTGGATCGATGCGTTATTGCCGGGTTGTGTCTCTTGACCCTGGGGGGAGTGGTGTTGTCCAGCCTGCTCATGATGTCCATGTGGAAAGGGGAGCTGTACCGGAGGAGCAGGTTCACGTCCTCCAAGGAGTCTGCAAAGCTGTATGGGTCCTTCAATTTCAGAATGAAGCCTGGCGCAAATGATAATATGTTAGAGCTATCATTAGTTGAGGAAGATGTGCTTGCCATAGATAATTAGTGTGGTCATGATTTTTAAAGGCAGCATTTCTGCAGGAAAATATGTTTCATTAAAGAAAACAGATGCAGCTTAAGATAGCTGGTGATGCAGTTTATTTGTCTGACCAGAATGGTTTTTTTCTTAAGCTCTATAATCGAATGTTTGCAGTATATGAACACTTGTTGTAAAGGGAAAACATGCCGGAGAAAACACAGTCAATCTAAAATCATGAAAACCACTGAATAAAAAGAGATTGGTGATAAGTAGGTTCCTCAGATGCTGCTTTATCAGAATATAAAACATTCCTTCGGTCTCTTGCCTGTGTAATTTTCTTATTACTCCCATATAAAACAGGAACATCCTTGCCACTTTGGAAGCTGTTAATTTGTTGCAGCCTACAGAAGGTTTATTAACAGCCTACTTGGTATCATGTTAAGAAGCAGGACCAATAATCAAATAGCAAGCCTGACATTTAAATTAACTAAATGTCTTAATTAACTTAATTTGAAGCTGACCCCTTCTCCACTGTGAGTGAGAGGTAAGGGGAAAAAAACGAACACGACTTGGTCATCACTTAGCACAGATCTCCCATATTTTGAAACAATGGTACGATTAGTGATGATTGTTTAAAATATAAAATAAGGGTCAAAGGGCAGGAGACCATATGGCTCATGGTACTATTTGGAGACAAAAGGCTCCTTCAGCCTGAGGTCAGTGGTTCCATTTCAGTTCAGATTAGCAATGACTGATAATCGTTAACTTCTGATAGCTATGGTGGCCCATATAGAAGAAGTTTAGTTCCTAGTGGACAGATGTCTTGGTATGAAAACTGCCATAACTTGAATTAACTGGCCTCCTGTTTGGAGTCTCAAAAGACCCAAGGACTGAAAAAGCAAGGGGCTGCAGATGCTGCGCGCTTCTCCTTCAGTGCAGATGCCAAAAGAAATTCAAGCTCAGCTGCAGGGCTTTGCTTATACTGGGGCTGTCTGCATCGTACTAGGCCCTGTAAAACTTCAGTGCTATCTCCCCAGCTTCCTGGCTGTCTGTCAGCCTTCCCACAACCAAAAAGGAAAGGTCAGAACAGAGCTTTTGGGGTGCTTTCATTAAAAAAGAATTTATTTGTAACAGTTACATAAAAATAAACGGTCAGGAAATACAAAGGCTAAATATCCGGCAGTCAGACATGGGACTCAGCGGAGTGGATGGTCAAGGGTACATGATGCTGTTAATCGTAGGTATGTGGCGCAGTAGCCAGAGACCTGTACTGCTGGTGGTATTTACTTCAGGTTCAGCCAGTTTCTGTGGAGCAGTAAAGCTGTGTTTTTGTGGTGCTGGGAAAAACAGCAAGGACTGTTGTACACGGTAATGGCATTTCTTACTGAACAGTGGTGGCTAATATATATATAGATATGTCTGAAATGCCAGGAATATCAAGTATTTTAGAACTGAGACTTGTTTCCAGCTGCAGTGGCCCCGAGATACCTGAGGAGAGGTCGCGGGAGGGGGGATCGGCGTTACCCGCCTTTGCAGGGGTGCTCAAGGAGCCGTCTCCTGCCCGGCCGCGGCTGCAGCCATGCGTTTCCGGCTCCGTT